TCTTCTTCTTCTTCTTCTTCTTCTTCTTCTTCTTCTTCTTCTTCTTCTTCTTCACCAGCGTTACTACAACACCGATAAGGCCTTTCACTTTTATACTCAGAAGACGCGAGTTCGATTCACGGAAGAAGAAGTCATGCAATTCTATTATGAGTATCTGGGTCTGTTTTGCTGTCTGGGTTTTCTTTCGTATTTGGTTTACCATTGTTTTTTTGTTTTGTTTGCTCTGTGTGGCAACTAATCTTCTTCTTTACTTTCTTTTTGCTAAGTAATTTTCTTGTTCATGCTGGTAGAATTGTATTCTACTTTTATGATATTCCGCAAAATTATTAAATGAAACGTTGTAAAAATAGGCTGTTTGTACAGATAGAATTATGAATGACCTTGAACATTTAAAACTGATGGCAATAAATTATATTCACTCATTTGAATGTGCAACTTTTTTAAAGAAAAAAAAACACGAACAAAAATTTATACTGTCTTGACACTGTTGGCAATATTGCGGTTGCTGTTGCTTTTGTTGTTGCTGTTTTCGTTCCTGTTTTATTGCTACCGCTATTTTTGCTCTGAAATCCAGTGAACAACAGGGAGGAGACACGTTGTGGATGTGGAAGAGAAAAGTCTTTACATATTTACCATAATTTCTGCTTTCGTGTTGTCCGAATCGGGGGCGTCCTAAGAGTTGAAAATAGATTTTGCACACAAATAATCGAAGGGTTCTCAAGAAAACATTGAACCTGCCATAAAAAGAGCAATGGGGAAATTGCCTGCTCAACCATCTGCATTTCCAGGTTATTCCCTGATTTTGTGGCCCTGCAATTTATTCGCGCCAGAAGCATGATGACGTTTGCATGATATCTGCATTTAGACAACTCCACGATTTCTCAGAAAGCAGTCTCTATCTGAATTTATATCCAGTAATTATCATCAGAATAAATGCGCGTATTTTCATTCATTAGAAAAGCCTTTGATGTTTTCCCGTAAGAACATCATCAACCGGGGGCTCTCGTGGCCTAGAAGTTAAGGTGTTGGCCTCTCATTCAAAGGTCCCGGGGCCGAATCCGGGTAGTGGCCGAAAATATTTCTTCTCTAAAATTGTCTCCTTTCACCTCCTTTCCTGCTCTCTAGCAATGTTCTGTTGTCTTCTTTCATTTCCACTTTCCGCCCCCACCCCCTCACCTCCTTTGCCCTCTCCTCTGGGCTCCTCACTCTTTCTGCAGCCTTTCTACTGCTACTCCTTGGCTCCTCCTTACTTCTGTCTTTCTGCCACACCCCTGATCTTCTGGTAGGAAAGATGTACACCTAGCCTTCTCGGACAAGGGCGAAAAATATCGGAGGGCCCGTGTGCAATTTGCGCACGTTAAAGATCCCTTGGTGGTCTAAAATTGATAAGAGCAGGCTTCGGCCGCCACCCGGGCAAAATTCAAAATTTCCTACAAACTGAAAATATTAGGTGTGTCCCGCGCGCTCATATGACCTTATGCAGTTGCGAGCGCCGCAAAACACTTTTCAAAAACAAAAACATCATCAACCCCCGTGCGGAATATAGTCAACGTATAGCAAAGCTCTCATGTATGTTGCATTTCTATAATGTTGTCTCATAGGGTAATGAAATCGGTCCAAAAACAGAATTTATAAAGACTTAGCTTATAAAACGTTTAGAAGTGTCTACTTTTTTTCATATTAAAAAAAATGTAGCGTCTATGGTTGAACTGATGTGGCACAAAAGATTACTTGTGTTTCGATTTTGTGGTTATTGTCAATATTCTATGCACACTCAAACACACACACACACACACACACACACACACACACACACACACACACACACA